AGGAGATAATGATACATTTTCAGTTATTTATGGCTTTGTTGGAAAAAGTAGCCTGATACTATTTGCAAGTCATTTATTTGATTATATTTATTTCTTGATTAAGTCATTTATTTTGATGTACAGGCAAAAACTGCAATTTGTCCCATTAATAGCTACTGACTATATTATATTTATATATTATATTTAGTGTATTGAGGAAAAGCCCCACAGATTTTTTTCTGTTAGAGGAAGAAACACAAAGTCAACTGTGTAAACTGTCACCACATGTGGCTGCACATGACAAAATCAACAAATTTGATTTCACATATTTATCATGCTTTATTTGGTAGACAGTGGATTTTCTTTTAGAAACACAAAAAATAAGTTTAAAGCCGCAGTAGCTAACTTTTTGGTTTTTGGTCACACTCATGCCATCCGGAGCACTAGGAGGAGCCAGAGGAACCTGTTTGGTTTTTTTTTACAGATTATCTGTATATAATATGACAAAAAGTTATATTTTGTAAAAAGGACCTATTGCAGCTTTAACATCCATTTGACATGTTAAATTTCAGATTTACACTGGATGAAAGCCAATATTATTAGAAATATAGTTGTTCTAAATCCAATGATACAGCCATTTCTGTATCACACTATATTATGTTACTCATTGTATCCCATAGAAATTATATTTAAACATTATAAAATGTCTGTACATTTCCAACACTGGACCAAGAAAAAAGTATTTTTCCTTAATGAATCTTTATTGTAACGGACCACAAAATGTGAGTATCAAAAACGATGATGATCTGAAATTCCTAACTTATTGTTCTATAAATAAATAAATAATACAATTCCGCTTTGGACATTAATGGGTTAACCCCGAGCAGCAGCAGGCAAATGTGTGCGCGTGTGCATACTGTTGTTGTTGTTGTTGTTGTTGTTGTTGTTTTGTTTTTTCTTTCGTGTGTGTGTGTGTGTGTGTGTGTGTGTGTGTGTGTGTGTGTGCCCATCTACACACCCGCCACCACCACCTCTGCTGGCGTGCACCGTGACCGGTGTGGCCGGTTTTAATATCCAGCCTGCTGCATGCTGCAAACCGAGGGGCAGCATGGGAACCCGAACACTTGCTCCGCTCGCGCAGGTCGGCCCGTTCAGAATGACAGCACGTTCATCAATGAGACGGCGTGGAGCGCGCGGTCACGGCGCGTTAAAAACCTGCACGGTTCGAATTATCATCTGGTTTTGAAAGCAGAGGGAGGAGGGGTGGGACACACACACTTTTCTAACACGTCAGTGCACACACACACACACACACACACACACACACACACGCACGCACGCACGCACACACTGTTGCTTTAGTGATAAGTTTTAATCAAAGAGGGCCCCCGCAGCAAACAAACAGTGAGGATTTTAGAATGCATTGATTATTGTTTATTGTTTTCAGTTTCGCCACCTTTGCATGTTTGGTACCCACTTCATCAGACATTATACAGTTTTCCATTTTCATCCAAATATTTTTATAGCCCTGTGAGCTTGAAATGAAGAGACAGAGTGAGGAGCAGCAGAATACCTGTTGCTGAAAAAGGAGTAAAGCCTAATTTTCTGTCTGCGTGCAAAAAGACATATTTGAATATTTGAAAATGCTCCAACACAAAGGTCATCTTTTAACTTTAAAAGCAACTATATCTTTACTTACACTTTAAAAAATGTCCGTAGAGTTTATGGTGAACTGTCAAATCATGACAGTGATAGGCAGTAAATATGTACCGGTATAAGTAGTTTCTGTAACAGTTTTTTTTTTTTTTTTTACAGCATTTTAAATGAATTTATATAAAATAAAGTAGTTATTTTATATTACAAACTGTAAATTGCACAGGAAACCACCATCATGGTAAATGGTAAATAGTAAATGGACCTATACTTGTATAGCGCCTTTCTAGTCTTCCGACCACTCAAAGCGCTTTTACACTTCATACCACATTCACCCTTTCACACACATTCACTCAGTGATGGCAAAGTCCATCGAACAGAAACTAACATTCATACACATTCATACATGGCATTCATGTGGCAAAACTGTTTCTGTTCATTACAGTACAAATATACTTTTACCATAATAGTAGAAAAAGTTCTACTGTATTTATTAGAGTAAAGTTCTGACAACCACAGCTGTTTTTGTATATGTATTTTAATACTATAATCTGTACTTATTATGGAGTTGACCGACTTTTTTTGGTTTGGGGGCATTTTACATTTCATGTTTGCTCTTTTCAAGGTTATGAAAATGAATGAATGAATGTTGTGTTTAACAAAAAAAGATGTCATTCTCAAATAATCATTCTTAAACATAAAGAATGAAAACTGTGGAAGCTACAGAGACTTAACATTTTACGCACACACATGAAACTGCACAATAGGAGAATAGTTTCTAGAAGTAGAAGAATACAAGATATTCCATCTGTCACCATGACAAGTCTAACGGATTTTTTTTCCTCCTTTTGATTTGAAATCCTAACCCCAAACCGGCCTTTATATTTTTGTGCAATTTTCACAAAATAAATAAAAAGAAACTCTCTTATTATAAAATAACTCCTGGATGACGGTAAGAAGTGATTTTTCTACTACTGACGTTTTGCTCAGCTCCTTAAATTTCGGTGGAAAAACAAAATGAAAACACAATAAGAAAGAAAATGAATGTCCACAGCCTGCAGGGTGAGAATGGCTACTGAAGGATCTGTTGTGTGGGACCAGCTCTCAAGGTCTGCTCGGAGCTCCGTCACTCATTCACTTAATGTCTCCATAATGATTTTTAACCGCTGTCACAATCAGCACAAAGGCAGAAGAAGAATCTGCTGTTTCACATGAAGTGGATGTGGACAGTGGCGGGGGCCGCGGTGCGCTCCTGCGGACTCCTGTCACTGTTTGGTGTTGTGTTCAGCACCTGGTTGGTACCGGATCGTGCGTCATTGTGTGTCCCAGCTACAGCTCCATTATGCAGACAGCGACACAAGCCTCATTTATAACGCGACATGTTGCATTGAGTGACGGCGGGGACGCAAATGGCCTTCTTCCCACGGCCGCAGCCCGTGTTGCAGCCTCTACCGCATCATACACACGCAGTGCGCGCGCACCCTGCCCGCCCCTGCACAAGGTCCATTTTCTCCGCAGAACAAAGTGAACCCTGCCACTGAATGGGCTGAATAGATGTGTGCTTACAGACCCCAGGCCGGCGGGCAGTCTCTTTTCGGTATACCGGGGAGCGTTAATATGGCGCGTGAGGTGTCAGAGAGGCGCGCGCTCCGGGGCCCACCACTGTGCTTTTATTTGTCGACCAGCCTCCCAATAAAACCAGCTCTGGCTGGCACCAGTGGCGCCTCGACCACTCTACTGGTGCACGTATTTACGGCAGCAGCACTGCCCACTTACGGCTTAATAAATGAGCTGAGGGCTCTTCACAGAGCAGGGTGACCGCATTCTGCTCCGCTCTGTGGGTTCATACTCAACCATACATCACCGGAAGATAAACAACAGCTACTGCGCCAGTACGAACGCTGAACATGTGCAACACTTCATTTACTATTCTTAATATTCTAGGCTGTGTCCATAATGACCTTTATTTTGTTGTAATCTTGGTTTTTAACTCTATTGCCTGATGCTGTCACTGACATTAATACTACCACTCTATAAGTGAAGGATCCATTTTAATGCTGTTATCTCAGTTAAATGTCATGTGTAATTGTGTATATGCTACTTTTTGTCATTGAGGACCCCCTTGAAAACGAGATGGTACATCTCAAGGGATTAGATAAGATAATATTTTCCTTTATTGATCCCCATATACAGGGAAGATGTAGTGCAAAGAGTAAAGAGAGATAATAAATTAAAATTCGATATAAACTATAAACACTATAAACAATAAAGTATGGTATGCTAAGCCTGTTTATATCTGTACATAATAAAGTATAAATAAAGTATTGTGCAAAAGAAGAGTTGTGATCTTTCTGCACCGCCTCCTTTTGTTTGTTTTATTGCTCCCTTTATCTAATTACATTTGACCATAGAAAGAGATATAACACATATATTGTACATGCAACATATGTTAAATATGTGTTATTATTATTATTATTATTATTATTATTATTATTATTATTATTATTATTATTGTTGTTGTTGTTATTATTATTAATATTATTACTACAGCGGGTAGGCTGCACTTGTTGCACATTTATACTGAGGGAGTCCATTGGCGACATTTGTTGCTTTAATCAGAGGAAATACCAGCTTTACTGCCGCTACTGGCCTCCGTCCTCCGTTACAGACATTAACAGGTGAACCTGAGCGTTGCAGGGTCACATCAAAATAGCCTATTATTAAGTATGCTATAATATATGACTAAGATAGCCAATTCAAACTATTTTAAGCGCTTCTTATAATGGAATCACCAGTGAAAATGAATGAAACCTGTTGCTGCATAGTGGCATTTCAATGATACATTGTCCTGCAGCATTTAATCCCACAATCCACCTGTGAAGAGAACCTACTGTCATAAATGTTATAAGGTTTTACCAGCCAACCAGTTGCGCATGTGTGTTTTTAACTGCAGCCCGTAATACGCCTAAACTCTGGCACTTTATTGGTTGCAGACACCCAACTGCGCGGTTTTTCTGGGGAAAAAGAACGTTTTCTTTGTTGTTTTTGTTTTGGCAAACAGGCTTATGTACCTGTACACCGTGTCCCGGTCATAAAGGTATGAGGACTATAATCAGTCGGTTCAGTTCATGAAGCTGTCAAACATTGGTCCGGTGCAGGGAGCAGCCGGTGTCAGCGCACAGTTGAGATGTTACACACAGCCCGGACAGTGGAGGACAGGGGGCGTGGCCTTCTGGGGGATTATCTCGAGGTGCGCCTCGCGGACCGCGCTGTGATTGGTTGGCGCTCCTGGCAAACGGCACGCGACTATGGATGTCGCTATAAAAAAGCCTCGCGTGCCGGTTCTTCAACTAAAAGTAAGTGTTGACCGCGAGCAGCGAGGGCAGAGCAACAGCACATAAAGGAAGAGACAACGCGTCATTGTTCAGGGACAAAGATGGACAGTGTGCTGGACCCCTTCTCCGGACTCGACTCCTTCTCCTCCCCTCCTTATTTCGACGATGACGACTTTTTCACCGACCAGTCATCGAGGGACGGACACTTGGACACTGACGACTTTCTGGATGACGACGTGGACTTCCTCACGAGTCATTTCCAAGACTATTACAGCAAAGACTGCGGCGGCAGAGCGGCGCCGCACGATGGAGACTACGACATCGGCAACCTGTCCTTCTCCTCCTCGTCCTCCACATTCTCGTACGGCTGCGCAGACAGCACCCCGGACCTGTCCCCTCAGATGGGCCACCACGGCGGGCCGCTGCTGAAGCGGAGGCGGCGGATGAGGTCTGAGACGGAGATGCAGCAGCTGCGGCAGGCGGCCAACGTCAGGGAGCGGCGGAGGATGCAGTCCATCAATGACGCGTTCGAGGGGCTCCGCTCCCACATCCCGACCCTGCCCTACGAGAAGAGACTGTCTAAGGTGGACACTTTGCGGCTCGCCATTGGATACATCAACTTCCTCGCCGAGCTCGTGCAGTCGGATCTGCCCATTAGAAACTCCAGCAGCGAGACGCACGTGCAGCCCAAGAAGGTCATTATCTGCCACAGAGGAACAAGTAGGTCCAATTCCACATCCTATCTCCTGACTGAGAACTGCTGCTTTAATCGTGAACCACTGTCTTTCCAAGCATCTCCTTTTACGCACGAGATTTTACGCACACGATCATTTGGATTTATGTTGATGAAGATGATGAAAACTAAAGCAACAGATATTAACACTTGTTCTCTTTTCTCTCTCCAGGGTCTCCCTCCCCCAGCGACCCGGACTACGGCCTCCCTCCCCTGGCCGGTCACTCTCTGTCTTGGTCGGACGAGAAGCAGCTCCGTGAACAGAACGTCATTCGCACCGCCAAGGTGTGGACACCGGAGGACCCCCGGAAACTGCACAACAAAGCGGGCCTCACAGACATTGAAAATGAGCCTCCTTTCGGCCTCGTGGCCTGAAAACAAACCGCACATAGTGAATGTGCAGACTGTGTATTATGTTAAAGTCCGTTAATGTGCACTGGAAGGCGCATTGTGAAACCGTGAACACCGTGTGAGCTCACTGTACAGTCTATGATATTGTGTTTCAATGTTGTAAATAGTTTTATCACGTTGATAATTTTATTTTTTGTAATTCAGGCTACTGGCAATCATGTATTTATTGTTTTTACACAGGTGATAATATATGTTTTAATTTAATTGAAACGAATGAGAGAGGAAATTCTATTGTTGTACGATGATTTATATTTATATTCACTCTGCAAATAAAAGCACTTACTGATAACAAATTGTTATTATTTTATTGTTTATTTTTAATTATTATTATTGTTGTTATAAATGTGTAATAAGAGCATCAAGATGTTAGAGCAGACCTTCCTTACATGATTCTACAGCTTTATTGACCTCAGCAAAAGGGTCACTGTCTGGACATTTTAAAGGTTTAAATAGCGCTAATGTGGTTAAAGGACCATTTAGTCAAAATAACAACAAATGAGATAGTGCCAAAAGCTGTCAACATGATATTCACTTACACACGTGGCATTTCTTATTTTAATTATGGCATCAGTTTATCATGAGGAGATCAAATGTTGGACCTTCAAATAATTAATGTCAATGACGTTTTTATCTATTATCTACTGAAGAGGATTAACAACATGTGAAAAAATTGTTAAAACTTGAAAAAACTACACATATACATTTTGTCAGAATTCTGACTTTATTCTCAGAACTCAATTAATTGTTCACATTTGGCCCTAATATTTTTCCATAATTACCATCATTACGCCTGATACGAAGCTAACATTGTTATGGCTGTAAGGTGCCACGGAACAGATAAACTAAAAGTCTGACTGAGTTTTACCCGAACTAATATAGCCCAGTATCGTGACATAAATATGCTAATGATATGCTAATGAGGAGCCACTGTACACCCACAACAGCTGAAGGTGTTTAAAGCGCAGGCGGGCGTGCAGCAGTATGGTGGGAGGCTGTTGAATGCTGCTCTCTGTGCTGCCAGGTGCTGCGAGGACAGATTTTCCCGTGGTAGCGGCATCCCTCCAACATGTGTCCCCCATACACGGCCTCCTCTGCGGCCGCCCCCGTGCGCACCACCACCAACCAACCGACACACACTGTTGCCGCATATATGAAGCATGTTGGCCCAAAAAGCTGCAAACACAAGGCTGACGCGACATGCATGCAGTGCACTCAGGATTGTGGAAGTTTGGATTATAAGAACCTCCAGAATAACAGGTGGGTTGGCTCATATTTCTATTCGTCATACAGTTTAGTGTTCAATTATCCCAATGTGTTGTAACTTTTGTTTTAACCCGAATTTTTTATTTTCTCAGGATGCAACATATTTCTTTGTGTTCATGTTTAAGCCTCACTTATTTGAGGTTCAGGAGTGTTTTCTCTCCCTCTCTCTCTCCTCAGCAGACTCCGGTCCTCTCCGTCCGCTCCTCATTACCAGCGCGACAGGAGCATGTAATCCCATTACAGCCATTAGAAAGTCAAATGCTGGGCAGCTTAATCTCTTTGGCAGGAGGGCCGCTCTGGAGCCCGGGGGTTAAAACAGTAGTAACATTGTAGTTTCCCGCACCTTAGCGCCTTTGTGCAGTTTAGTGTTTAGTTTTTCTTTTAGTGTGCGGAGCGCAGAGCGCCTCTCAACGTCCTTTGGTGCGGTCGCAGCCAAGCGGAAGGGACAAGCTGAAATACTCCCGGCTATCTTGTCACTCCGGCTACGGGCTTGGCAAGGCTTAAAAGGACCTGACCATTTTAGTGTCTGACAGGTTTTACTTGCTTTAGTTCAGCAGCTACGCTGAGCGGTAATTTGGTTGAGAAAGGGCCCGGCGCTGAGCTCAAAGGCCGCTGATTCACACTATAGAGACAGCTTTCATACCAACAGTGTGTCCGGGGCAGACACACACTGACCGCACTCACTTATATCTGACATTATTAATGAGGTTATTCTGTCATTCTGTCATTCTGTTTTCTGGAAGTAGGCTGAATAATAAAAATAAAAAAATCAGATTACGGCCAAAGGAAAATTTAAAAAATAAATAAATTAAAATCTGATTTAAGGGGAAAAAACAACAACTCAGAGATTAAAGTCATAGGGAGGATACCCGGACATTCAATGAGTGAGGGAAAAACACCAACAAGTTGTTCCACGGAGGTTCATTAAAAGGCTCTAAATATGGAAGCTACAGTCTGAAGACAACAGAAAGCCTGTTTACAGATAAGTTAAATGATTTTATTTGATTCAATATTTCATGATAATATCCATTGCATGTATCTGATGGCCGCAGTTGCGCTGTCAGTTATAAATGTTATGAAGCATTCCTGCAGATTTTTAAAAACACCAACTGGATAGAAAACGTTAACACCACTAGTTATAATTGTAAAGCCTAACTCAGAAAGAGAGCTTTGTTGCTGATACATTTACTCACCTGTAAGTCAAATATTGAACACATAACTCGCACATTATGAACTATGTTACCATTGTGGTATTGATACTTTATTTAAAGGCAATAGATGTAGTGCAGACATCTTTTTCGTTTGTGGCGAAGAAGTGCTATAAACTAAAGTGTTCCAACATGTAAATAATCACAGCAAATATCATTCTATTGCGACGTAATTAGATAACTAATGTTCTACAATTTGACTGTTCAAAGAGCGCAAAGACTTCCTAAAAGTACATCAAATATTATGTTTTTTTCTTTGATTTAATTAATAATCAAACTCAGCTGCTTTAACCCATAAAATACATTCACCTGAACTGCTGTATGAAACATTTGAGGGCTTTTGAGTATATGTAATGTAATTACTATAATAAATGACGTACCTGGTATACAGGCCACTTTTTAGCCGCCCAAATCCCAATTTTTCCTCCCAGCTCACCACTGAGGAAATTCCTGGATATTAAGGTGCACAATGACAGGAAGTATATTAGTGTGTTACTTTTTTTAAATTTAAATTATTCAGTCATTTGATGTCTTAATGTCATGGCACTTTTACGCACCGGTGGCTGTGAATATGAGCACTGGGTTGCATACCTGGCTGGGGAACACATTGACAAGCGATAAAGGAGAGAAGTTTCTACAGTGAGGGTGTGAAGATTTAGTTAAACTGCTTTGACGCATTCATGAGGAGAAAGTAAGAGCTCGTAAATCCGCTCTAAGCCCGTATGTCAGCGCATTGGGAGAGACGCCTAACAACAGCCACAAATCGGCTTGATTTGCAGATTATCTCGCTGCGGAAACACAACCCCTGGAGTCATTGTCAATACCTCTGACTCCAACATGGCATCAGTGCCGGCTGCGAGGCTGACCCCTCCAGACTCTCCATGCCATGCGGACGCTCAGATTTGCAGGGTAGCGGATGTGTAGGCCAACAGGTGTCTGCTGCACTGACAGAGCAGGAGGCAGGAGGAGTCGTGTGTGTGTGTGTGTGTGTGTGTGTGTGTGTGTGTGTGTGTGTGTGACAGGGAGGGGAGGTGGCCAGGATCACTCTCCCTGCCCGTGCGCTCCTTTCTTTCACACGTGACCTTCCGATCTAAATTACATCTTTATGAGCGCTTCGTTGTCCCGCTGGAACAGATCGGTCTCCGCCGTGTTCTTCGGGGATGCACCTGGTAGTTCAAACTTTGTCTCTTTTCATATCATTGCGCCGCCCGTGTCCCTGGACAGCAGCTGCCTAAAAGCAAGCAAAGAGAGAGGCCCTTGCAGTGTCTTCGAGACGGGTTGGCACCGTTTTCCACGTCTTTAATGTTCCATCAGCCTTTTGTCCGTGACACAATATGGCAACTGTAAAGCATGACGTTTTGCAATAATAAAACACATTTTCAATGATGTGACACCGGGCTGAAAGCGCAGCACGGGCCAGCCAGGCTCAACACGTCCCTGCGTTTGTTTTGTGCGCCCCCAGCCAATTAACAGCGAGGTCCTTTCGCAGAGCCTTGATAAGCCAATTAAATTTATGTCTTGTGTTTTTTTTTCAAGGAGAGAAAGGAGGTGGATTTGGTGTTCTCCTCCTCGGAACGGCGATTTTCTTGCCATCACCTGGCGCTTTCTCCACAAGAGAGCAAACTGTCCCGGGTGCCCCCGGAACCATACGGCTCTCACCATCCTGTACCATTGTTTTCCCGCGTTGATCACTCATTACAGGGATTTAACAAATCCTCCATGAGCTATGTTTTGTGTCATATTTTCATCCGCAAGATTAAGCAGATGCTGCGATTGTAACATCCAAACTGTAGGGCTACTCAAGGCTGAAAGAGGGACGAGCACTCGGTTGCGAACGAGAGAAAAAAAGCTTTGGGCACATCTTCAGAGGAATAAAACATTTAAGAGCCATAAACAGACTTCAACCTGCTCTATTTCAGCCTTTGTGTTGTTTGTGAATAATTAATGTTAATAGGGACAGGTTTGTATACTTTGAATGCGGGACCACAGGTGCGGAGTGACAGGATGAATAACCGGCCCTGATTTTTGCCAAAGCTCGAGGGCTCTTGTCCAGGGTCTCCAAGCTGATGGAAAATATTGTCATCTCTTTGATTCGCAGCATTACTTTCACCGAGAACAAAGCCGGGTGATGAAAAGCTTATGTTGGAGTGAAACGGGCGATGACGGTGGCCGCTTCAGACTCCTGAAAGAAAGAGAAAGGGGGCGAGTCAATGGCCATGCGCGCTTCTGGTTTTGTGCGCAAGTGCTCCATCTAACTCAAATAAAGGAGCCTTTCCAACTTTTAAAGGACCACTTTTTACCTTTAATAAAGGCTGGACGGCTGTAGCCATTAAGCATATGGTGCTAAGGCGCTGGTCTTTTGTCCCTGTGAAGCCCTTGAGATACTAACTTGTGTTCTTTCCGGGATATTTAACTTCTCAAAAGCTCCAACTTTATGCGCCGGCAACAAGTGGCTCCGGGGCGCACGATCAGCTCCCCCCCTTGAGAGAAGCAGAGTGGCAACGACAGAAGAGTTAGTGGGTAAATAAGTAGAGGAGGGCTTTATATCTTTATGACAAGCGCTGTCGAACATTCAGGGAAATTAGTTTATATTTTTGACAACAGAGAGAGGCGCGTTACCTTGGATTTGTTCCAAAGGACTGTCCTTTTGGCGCATGGATATCCATGGCAACGCACGACCAGACTGGGGCTGAAGTGAGTGCGCATGGAAACAATTTTAACTCTCTTAGAAGGACAGAATAAAATAAGCTCAGTTATCCAGAAAATGTTTACGTTTGCAGCGCCCTTAGGATAAATTGTGTTTTATCAAAATAACGTGCCTC